GGTAGTAAGGGCAATTTAACAATACTGCTTCTCCCAGACCATGAGCATAAAATATCTTTACATTCATTTGCACCTTCTTCAATTTCTTTAACAACTTAGTACACCAAAATATATGTTTTATATTTTATATATTTATTTTTATATATACACTGTATATTATATTTTATATTTAAAAAGGTATTTTTTAATATACAGGGGTCTTTCACTCCCTTGCTTAAGTTTATTCCTAAGTATTTTATTCTTTTTGAGACAATTGTAAATGGGACTGTTTTCTTGATTTCTCTTTCTGGTAGTTTGTTATCAGTGTATAGAAATGCAAGATTTTTCTGTGTTGATTTTGTATTCTGCAACTTCACTAAATTTGTAAGTTCTAATAGTTTTTTGATAGAGTCTTTAGAGTTTTCTGTATATAATATCATGTCATCTGCTAATAGTGGCAGTTTTATTTCTTCCTTCCCAATTTGGAAGCTTTTTTTTTCCCCTCTTGCCTAATCGCTCTGGCTAGGACTTCCAAAACTATGTTGAATAAAAGTGGCAAGAGTGGGCATCTTTTTCTTATGCTTGATCTTAAAGCAAAGACTTTCATCTTCCCACCACTGAACATGATGTTATCTGTGGGTTTGTCTTATATGGGCCTTTATTATGTTGAGTTACATTCTCTCTATACCTGCTTTGTTCAGAGTTATCATAAATAAGTGTTAAATTCTGTCAAATGCTTTTTCTGCATCTACTGAGATGATGTGATTTTTATCCTTTATTTTATTAACATGGTAAAACACACTAACTTATTTGCAGATGTTGAACCATCTTTGTATCCCCAGGAATAAATCCCGCTTCATCATGGTACATGATCCTTTTAACATATTACTGAGTTTGGTTTGCTAATATTTTGTTGAGGATTTCTGCATCAATGCTCATCAGGGATACTGGCCTGTGATTTTCTTTTCTTATAGGGCCCTTGTCCGGTTTTAGTATTATCAGGGTAATTAATGCTGGCCTCATAAAATGAGTTTGCAAGAGCTTCCTCCTCTTCTTTTTTTTTTTTTTGGAAGAGTTTGAGAGTTTGCAAGAGTTTAAGAGAAGAGTTTGGTACTAATTCTTCTTTGAATATCTAGTAGAATTAACCAGCAAGGCCGTCCAGTCTTGAACGTTTTTTGTTCGGCAGTTTCTAATTACTGATTCAATCTCCTTACTAGTAATCAGTCAGTTTAGATTTTCTATTTATTCAACTCTATTTTCATGATTTAGCTTTGGTAGTTTGTATGTTTCTAGAAATTCATCCATTTTTTTCTAGATTGTCCAATTTGTTGGCATATAACTGCTCATAGTAGTGCCTTTGGGTTCTCTGCATTTCTGTGATAGCAGCTGTAATATTTCCTCTCATTCTATTTATTTGATTCTGTTTTCTCGATAAGTCTAGCTAAAGGCTTATCAATTTTTTTCTATTACCATCTCCCTTTCATCAAGTAATCCCAAAATCCCCAAAAAGACACCACCCCCAAAAAAGAATGTTTTAGCCGAACTAACTTCCCTAAATAAAATAGAAACACATGTAATGGCTTTTCTATTTATCCAATCTACTTTTACGAGGCTTATCAGTTTTGTTCGCTTTCTCAAAGAACCAGTTCTTAGTTTCACTGATCTTCTCTATTTATTTCTGTTCTAATTTTTATTATTTCCGTTCTTCTAATAACTTTGGGCTTTCTTTCTTCTCCTGTTTCTACTTTCTTGAGATGAGTAAGAGAGAATTTTCTTGTTTCTGGAGGTAGGCATTTATCCTAGGAACTCCTCTCGTACAACTGTTTTCGCTGTATTCCATGAATTTTGGTGTATTTCCATTTTCGTTTGTCTCAGGGCGGTTTGCTTCCCTTCTGATTTATTCTCTGACCCACTGATTGTTCAGCATGCAGTTTAATCTCCACATATTCACAAAGTTCCCAGTTTTCTCCACGTAATTTCTGATTTCTTATTACTTATTGTGGTCAGAAAAGATGTCTAAGAGGATTTGAATCCCCCTAAATTTATTAAGATTTGTTTTGTGGCCTAACATATGATCTGACATTGAAAACGTTCTATGTACAATTGACAAGAATGGGTATTCTTCTACTTTTGGATGTTTCTGGTTGGATGGTGAAGCCATTGATGTAAGTGGGACATTAAAATTCCTTACTATTATTGTATTGCTGGGTACATCTCCCTTTAGACCTGGCAATATTTACTTTTTACATTTAGGGGCTCCTATATATAGGGTACATAAATATTTATGAATATTGTATCCTGTTGTTGGACTAACCCCTTTATCACCATGTGGCACCTATCTTTGCCTCTTATTACTGTCTGTTTTAAAGTTTATTTTGTGATAAAAATATAGCTACTTCAGCTTTTTTCTGGTTTCCATCTGCATGGAATTATCTTTTCACCTTCTGGGACCCCTACAATGTGAAAGTTAGACTATTTTATATTGTCCCAGCAGCCCCTTAATCTATCCTAACCTATCCTTTTTATCATTGTTCTCTTTTTTGTTGCTCTGATTGGGTGAATTCATTTGTCTCGTCTTTGAGTTCACGGATCCCTTCCTCTGCTTCATCTAGGTGCCACTGAACCCCTCTCTAGTATAAGTCTCTAATTCAGTCTAGTCAAATTTTCAACCTCTTCCTTTATATCAACACTTTTTGTTCAGAAATCCTTCCCTCCCCCTCCTCCAAGACCATAAAGATGTTTTCCTATACAGTCTTTCAAAGTTTTACAGTTTTTGTCTTTCACACATTTCATCATTAATCAACCTGAAATTGATGGCTGCATACGGTATGAAGTAGGAATCCAATTTTTTGTTTTCCTTCACCACATGGGTTATAAATTTCTTATACCATTTACTGAAAGGTTCATCCTTTATCTGCTAATCTAGGAATGCCAGCTATGTATAAACCAAGTTCTGATATATGTATATGCTTTGGACTATTCTGTCCTTAATCAATACTTTGGTTTTGCCAAATGCCTCACTGCCTTAATCTATAGCTAAATAGTAATTCTTCTCTTTATTCTTTTGAAGACTGACTGTATTAGTTTTGGCTTCTTACTCTTCCACTGTAAGTTGTAGAACTGAAGCTCATAACCCTGAGATCATGACCCTGAGATCATGGGTGTGGAGTCTGTTTGAGAGTCTCTCTCTCTCTCCCTCTGGCACCTCCCTCCTGGCTCACGTGTGCGCTCTCTCTCTCTTCCTCTCCCACTCTCTCTCAAATAAATCAATCTTTACCCCCGCTTTGGTAGTGTTCTTTGACCCATGAATTATTTAAAAATGTGTGGCATGATTTCCAAGCATACGGGGTTTTTCTACTTATCTTTTTAATATTGATTTAACTATACTGTAGTCAGAAACTGTAGTCTGCATTATCACAATCTTTACAATGTGTCGAGATGTGCTTAGGGCTGCATCCTGCAATTTTTACACATTAGCATCTGAGCAAACTGCTCTGCAGCTGCTGAGGTCCGTGTCCTTGAGAGGTCTGTGAGATCGCCTGTGCTGCTGCCGCCTTTCTTATCCTTACAGAATATTTTTGAGTTTTGTTAATTTACTAGTTACTAAGAAATATACTGTGATTTTATTCAGTTATAAAACTTAAAAATTTTAGGGGTGCCTGGGTGGCTCAAGTTAGTTAAGTGTCCAACTCTTGATTTCAGCTTAGGTCATGATCTTAGGATCATGAGGTCAAGCTCCATGGCAAGCCTGCTTAGGATTCTTTCTCCCCCCACCCCTCCCTCTGTCTCTCCCCTTACCCACTTATGCACATTCTTGCAAAAACAATTTTTTTTTTTAAATTTTGTACCTAGGAACTTATAAAGTGAACTGAACCTTTACCACTATATGGTAGCCTTTCCCTAGGAATAATTTTTCCCTTAATGACTATTTTATTTGATACAAATATATCTACTCCAACTTTCCTTTTGCTTTGTATTTGCTCATATTTTTTTCTTAATTTTCAACATTGCTCTGTCCTCTCTATCCTTGTATTTAGATTTATCTCTTGAAAATAACCTGTAACTGGATTTTTAAAATCAATTATGATAATCTCTTACTATGATTACAGATATATTTGTATTTCTACCATCTTATTTTTTAATTTGTATTTTTCTTATTTTTCTGTTTTTCTCTTTGTATTGCCTTCTTTTGGATGATTTTTTCATTACATTTTCTTACTATCTATTTTGGAAATTATACCCCAAGCTTCCATTCTTTTAGTATTCATGTTAGAAATTCTACAATGCAGATTTAAATCGTTAGAGCCTAAAAGCATTTCTTTCTTTCTTTTTTAAAAGCAATGCATTTCTTTTGCTCTTCCACAACAATACAAGACCTGAAAAACACTGAAATACAAGCATGTCTCTCTCAATTTACAAGCTATTATTACTGTCACGTATTTTTGTTCTCTGCCATTTTGTTTTTCCCCATAAATCAAAATGATTTATATAATCAATGTTCAGAATTATCCACATATTTACATTTTCTCTGCTCATCCTTTCTTCTGGCATCCCCTACCTTCCTTTGTCATCATTCTCCCTTAGCCTTCAGGTACACAATTAGGATATCCTTTAGACAGGGTATTGCTAGAAAAATCATTTCTTTTCAAGTTCTTCTAAAAATATCTTTATTTCATCCTTGCTTTTAAAAACTACTTCAAGGGACTGTAATTCTAGACTGAAAAGAATCCCTTCCGTAGCTGAAGCACACCTGACAAACATATCCAATCCACCATAATGCCAGAAATGAAAGTCTCTGATCAGCTGCAACAATCAGTGTGCGGATGGATGAACTTACAGACTATAGTAAACAAAGCTGCGTAGTTTCTAAATCAACGAGACAAGGAAAAACTACAAGGACTTCTCAAGTTCTCAACAACAGGGGGATCTTGCCCTACCTTCACTTTGGTAGAAGGACACAGAAAAATTGAAAAGAATCTGAGAATTTTAAAAAACAGGAATCATCATTTTAGTATACTTACCATGCTGCTTGGATTTCTTTTTCTTTTTCTTTTTCTTCTTCTGTTTTGGTTTGTAGTGATCTTTGTCTTTCTTCTCTTTTCTTTCCTTATCCTTCTCTTTTCTCTTACCTAAATGACACAAGTGATAAAGTCAGCAATCATGGTTGATCCTGAGTTGTTGTTCTGTGGTTAACCTAAAAGCAGCATTTATGTTTTAATCAGCTATTCCAGTCACCTGCCCAGTGGATGGATTCAATTAAACTGTTCCTGTCATGAGTCTGGAACTCCTGATTAGCTTATTGGGCTCTAAGAGGGGGTCTTCATTAGCAGTGTTGAGAAATCCCAACTCCTGACACCTTGAAGTTAACACAGACAGTAGTTAAAATCTTAAATGAGTAATATACTCAGTTCCCTGATGTGGCAAGAAATAAACTCCTTAATTTAAGAAAGACCTGACTGAGAAGACTCAGTATTTCCACACAGAATTTAATGAGAAAATATGTTAGATTTAAAAAAAGAACTTAATGAAATTTTTTCCTTCGGAAAAATAAAATCAATCCATAAATAATTCCTTCAGTCTTCCAATACTTTCCAGTGTGTACAACAATGAAGGCGAAGAACACAAAGCAAAAAACTTATTTCATTAAACTTTTTCCCCAAATTTTAAAATACCTTCCCCCCGACCCCAATCATATGTACTTTAAAGAAAACAAATGGATGTTAAAGCAGTGTCCCAGGGTACTTTACTTAAAATTGGTTCATCATATATACTCAACTATTACTCCAACTCAGAATGATGTAGTCTACAATTTATCAAACATATTTAAACAACTTTAGGGACACAAGCTCCAGTGAGTTAATCTACAGAATATTTAAGACTATCATCAATTACCGGAATACTTTTCATCATTATAGCACAGAAGACAGGGAAAAAAAAAAAAAGCAGAAAACTTGGTAACTTTTTTATAAGTTCAGCTAAAGAAGAAAGTCTGAAAAAAAAATGACTTTTTATTCATCATCCCTTCCCTAAGTCTCAACAATATTAAATGGTGCCTTATTTTTAAATAGCCACAACTGTAAAGGTGTTCAAAAAGACAAAACTCTCACAGAAAGCCTAGGACTCCCCTGACAAAAAAATACACATAAGATATGTGTTTAAGAAATCAAATATCCGGAGCTGAATAATACTAATAAATACTAAAACAGATGATCACTTACACCTAAAGGAGCACTAACAGGTAAAAAGTAAGGGACAGACTATGTCCTCCCACTGTCAAGCCAATAGTCTTTTGCTTAAAGATTACTTTCTGTTCATACCAAATGCTGTTGAGCTTTTTTCTTCCAATTTCACTTTTTTTTCTGTTTTCGATATTCCTGTAGGTTAGGGGGAAAATAGGTAAGTTTAGTCAGGAAAGGTTTAAAAGTATGGGACGATAGTTTACATTACAAGTGCTCACAAAACCTTATTTAAGACTCTTTTCTCCTAAAGGTCTACATTATTTTATTTCCTGAACTAGTAACAAAGAAGTGAGATTTCTTACTTCAAAAGACTGATAAATTAAGGATTTTTGTTCCTTCAGACTACCCACATTAAAATCTTGGTTCCACCATTTGTTAGCTGTTTGGCCTTGACCAAATTATTTAATCTCTCTGTGCTTCAGTTTCCTTACCCGCCTATTAGGAATGACTCTCTACCTCACGTTATTAGTATTAGGGGAGTCAAAATTCATAAAATGTTTAGACTAGTGTCGGAGTAATAATAAATTTTTTTTTCACTTTCTCTTCTGTGGTGTGATAATAACTGAAGACCACACCATTTAAAAAGTTAGATAAATGTACTGGGCAATCCGTAAAGATCTACTCTGGCATCACAGCCTTTGGCAATCCAAATGCTGAAATGCACCCTAATGGTAGGTCTGATGTAATGTGTCTACTTCTGTGACATGAATGCTATTCAGGTCATCTATATGAAATATTGAACTTCATATTAAAGTACACTGGTTTTCAACAACATGCATACGGTTTTTAAACTAGCACTTAATTTCTGTTATCTAAAATAAAGTATACCTTTGAACTCCATCATGAATGTGTTGTTAGGTAACGATAAAAGCCAAAATATAATTATTTTACAAATCATTTTTGGTCTTTATCTAAATGTAAGATACAAAAGCTCATTTTACACATTACAAATATTCAACCCTCATGACATCTGGGAACTATTAACTAATAGTCCAAAATATATTTTTAAACCAATACACCTCAGTAACAGTGTAGCTGACACACATACATTTAATCAAGCTTCTCAACTCATACTCAACCGTTTCCAATGCTAATATGTACCTAAGGTTAATCTAAGAAAAATATTATAGTGCATTTAAAATACAATTTCAGTCTATTATGCTTTAATATTGCCATTCACAGGTTTGTTGATTTTTAAGTCACTTAATACAGAATCAAAAAGCTAGCATTTCATTCATCTTACTTCAAATATTTTATATAACTTAAACTTAATAAAAATACAAAAATACCACTCAACTTGTATTAAATGTTAGTAAGGCTCTAATAAGTTAAGTTTCAAATTAAGTAAGAATATTGATAGTCGCCTTGACAATCTCTCACAACAAAAAAATGAAAGGAACATTAGCACAAAGGGAAATACAACTAAATTTCCACATTTTCAAGACTACTGAACAAATCCAACACTTCCTTTATTTTTATTTCTATTTCTTTAAAAGATTTATTTGAGAGAGAAAGAGTGAGAGAGGGTACACACGAGTGGGTGGCAGGGACAGGCAGACTCCCTACCAAGCAGGGACCCCCAACCAAGGGCTCAATCCCAGGACACCAAGACCATGACCTAAGCCAAAGGGAGCCACTTAACCGACTGAACCACGCAGGCACCCCACAACACCCCCTTTAATAATTACTATTCATTAACTACTAATTACCACACCATGAACATTCTACATATTTGATTATTTTACATGAAAATAATGAGGCATTTACAAGACAAACAATGAGAAAGGAGCTTCTGAGTCCCAGCGGCAGCAGACATACTCAGGAGCAGCCCTTGATCACGATCATTGCCTTGCAGGTCCCCACCCCTGGAGCACTGAATCCAAGGTGATCAAAGGAAAACTGCTTTACTGGGCTGCCTTCACTCACTGAACCATGTGGGATCCCTCAGGTACTTGGAGGACAAATAAAATGTCTATGAACCGCTCGCTGCGCCAGAATACAGGTCAGTGCAGCAGAACAGAGATAATCACTCCCAGAGTGCTTTCAGAAAGGACTAGGTCTAGATACAGGTTTCACGAGTTCCAGTGGTCCCCAAACCTTTAGATTTCTTAACTGATAAATTTCAGAAGTAAAACTGAGGGACTGACAAAGGGCTGTCAATATTTTATATAAGAATATTAAATGTTCGCCTCTGCAATAATGGCAGGACTTCTAAAAACATACCTAAGTAGAAAAGTAAAATAGACCTATTCAAGAATTCAACAAGAGAAAAAATTTAGTTTTATGACAAGTTCACTACCTGACACTTATATCACCATGTGCTGGAATGTGGGAACCAAAGAACAAGGATATCAGTTTACTATTCTGAATAGTGATTTTTTAAACTAAATTTTATCAACAGAACATCTTCTTCAAACAAAATATTACAGGATAGTCCGATACATAATACAAAAACCAAAAAAAAAAAAAAAAAAAAAAAAAAAAAAAAAAAAAAAAAAAAAAAAAA